TCGATGAGAAGTTAGCACCCCATTTTTAAAAAATTGTTTAAAAATACTTATTAAGCGGAACTCTTGTTATAAATTATATAGAACTCTTTGTCTCGTCAAAAAGAAACGGGAACTCTATTCAGAACTCCTGAGTACTATAGTTGGGGTGCTAACTTCACATACCCGTTTCATTCATAATTGTCGCACGACTGAGTCTAGATACAAGGGGCATTTGTCTATTAAGGAGCTTGACTCTGCTATACTGTCATTGTCTAAGATGGTTCAATCACATGCATTCGCTGCTGATCTTAAATGCTTGTGCAATCGAGAACAGCTTCCTAAAACAAGCAAGTTTTTATCTCTAAATCCCTTTTTAGACGAGCATGGAATCATTCGCGTGGGCGGTAGGCTCCAGCATGCTGACTTGCCCTATTCAGTGAAACACCAAATAGTGTTACCATCCAAGCATCCATTTACTAAGTTGTTAATAAAGCACGAGCACACTAAGCTTCTTCACGCAGGAGCACAAATGACGTTGACCTCCATACGTCAAAGGTTCTGGCCGTTGAACGGGAGGAATACTGTTCATCTTATCGTTAGAAACTGTATAGCATGTTTTAGGATGAATCCTCCAATGATCCAGCCCCTCATGGGCAATTTACCAAGGCATAAAGTTCAAGCCTCACGAGTCTTTGCGAATATTGGGATTGATTTTTGTGGTCCTTTTCAATTACGTGAGAGCAAACGACGAAACTCAAGGACGGTGAAATCTTATGTCGCAATTTTCGTGTGTTTGGCGGCAACTAAGGCCGTGCACATTGAAATGACATTTGATTTATCAGCCGAAGAGTTCATACATACCCTCAAACGCTTCATTGGACGCAGAGGCAAGCCGAGTCACATTTTTTCGGACAAACTTCACGGGAGCAGACCGAGAGCTAAGTGAGCTACGTGACATGTTTTTAAGAGAAAGACACACGATAGTGCAAGAATCAGTTTCTGAAGGCATTCAGTGGCACTTCATACCACCTAGAGCTCCCAATTTTGGAGGAATTTGGGAAGCATCCGTAAGGTCATTCAAGACGCATTTCAAAAGGGTAGTTGGCACTGCCATATTAACAATAGACGAGATGTAAACACTCTCCATACAAATAGAGGCCATCCTAAATTCTCGTCCCATAACAACTCTGTCCAATGATCCCAATGATTTGTCCTACCTATCCCCTGGGCACTTTCTCATTGGAGACACACCGGTATACCAGAACCGACTTTAACTGAGATCCAGGAATGTAGGCTGACCAAATTGCAACGAACGGAACAGATGCGGCAGTATCTTTGGAATCGATGGTCCAAAGATTACCTCAACCAATTGCAACAGCGCACCAAGTGGAAAACTAAGGGAATTGATCTCAAACCTGGAGACATGGTTCTCATCCGAGAGGACAATATTCCACCATTGTGCTGGCCCATGGGCAGAGTAATGGAGACTCACCCTGGTGACGACGGTGCGGTCAGGGTGGTGACTCTCAAAACCATGAGAGGGCTTTTCAAGAGGCCTGTCAATCGGCTAAGTTTGCTCCCTATGGAGCCTTGATTATCAACTATGTCGATTCACATTCTGCCTTATACATATATTGTTTGGTATTTTAATCAGCATTATGACATAGTTTGTTTCAGATTTTTTTTATATTGAGATTTGCCAAGGAGCAACTTGCTTATTCAAGATAATAAATCGTTTCATATTGGAAGGATTGACCTTCCAAGGCGGGCGGCGTGTTAAGGCCATGTTGCATTCATTTTCCTGCTCCTGCGCCATTTTATGATACCACCAATCAACTTGCGTGCGTGCAGAAAGTCGTAGCGCTGGTGTAGAAAGAGTTCGGCGGTCAGCGCCATGAAGAGTTCTCCCATCAGTAGTCGTTTTTGTTTTAGTTTTCGTCACACAAACACACGTTATTTTGTATATCGCGCAGCAAGCAAGTTTGTAAGCAAATAAAGTTGTAGTCATCTTCGACAAAGGGAAGAGAGACAGCGTGAGTTATTTTACCTCGCGTATCCTACAATGATGATATTTTAATTTTTCTTGAAACTATTTAAATAAAATGTTGTTTTATTTTATATATATTAATTCATTCTTTATTCAAAAAATTTGAACAAAAAGAAAAAGAAATTCGCTCGCTGTTACAATTAATAAAACTTACAAAAATTATGAGATTGAAATTAACTTGGAATTAAATTATCCCCCAAAAAAAAAATAATTATATATATAATGGAAACAATAAATACTTATATATTAATCAATATTTACCGAAAAATTATTTTATTAATAATTTTATTAACAATTATTAATTTTTAACCATAACGAATTATAACAAACACAACGCGTATATCACTGCGCGTGCTAACTTACCAAAGCACTGCCGTGTCTTCTGATTTTAGTCTAGTACTTTTCCGAGATTCCGTTTTCCGAAATCCGACTGTCATGGGACAGCACCCTAAGTTGAAATTGAAGTTGTGTTCGTGCTAAGGTATGATATTATGTTATAATATGATATTACATTATTGTAATTAATGTTATAACAATAACATTGTTTAGTTTCAATGTTTCTAATAATAGCTATGCAATGACATTTTGATGTTTAAAAAAAAAATTCTTTAAATGTAAAAATTTAATTTAAAAAAATGTTTTAAATAAATAAATGAATCAGAATATTATAAAATATAAGTAATTTAAGTTCGAACATAGTTATATATAAAAACTTCAAAAACAGGGCGAATGAGAGTCAGCGTGGTAATTAATACGCAATCTTACTTCTTCAATCCAAAAAAATTGATTCCATATATAGTACGTTTCAGTTCACTTTGGAACCATCTTCAGCCAAATAAATTTAAAATAGCAATCCCTTAATGTCAAGGATAATCACCATCAGATTAGCAGATTTGATGTTATAATCTATTCGAAAATTAAAATTACCTTATAAAAACCTTAGAAAAAATTTTTCTCATTGAACAATTTCAAAATTAATCATAAAACTGGTGACTCACCACATGACAACCAAGGAATTCGTATAAACATTGGATCAACTAATTACAATTAATATTTAATATAAAGTATCGAGTTAAGAAACATGTTGATCGCAGCACGAACAGCACATGAATAATATACTTAATATAATCGGAAAGACATGTCAGGTCAAATACAAAAATAAAAAGAATCAAGGAAATAAAAATAACTTAGTTCCACAACATTTATATCATATAGATAATCGGAGGACAAATCTATTTCACTTTAAATCGGTTCAAAAATTTAATTACTTTAAACAACAATTTACACGTAGAATGCTAGAGTTAGAGTTGGGTGATGCGTATAGATCTATCGATTTTGCTCATTGTCAGATTTCTCATGTTCGAAGACAGATTCTTAAGCATGTTCCTTTAAGCATTTGTAATTCTTTTTTTGAAAGGCAAGAAGTTACATTTAGAGAAAATTTGAATAAGAGTGTCGTAAATATGGAAAAGAAGTTAAATTGGTTAAGAAATAAACAGAAAAAGAAATTTTTTAATAACATTGTTCCAATTAAATATTATTGTAATGCTGGACGAGATTTAAACAATGATTCAAGAGAGATCGATGATGAAGTCGAGGGGATTGACTCTCACTTTTCTTTTCATAATTTCAATGGCACGTCTAAACAAAATAATTTAATTAAAATTGACATTGATGCGAAAAAATTCGCATCTCTCGTTTAACACTGAGTGAACAACAAAGATAATACGATACGCGGAGGCACTCGGGTGATGTTTCTGAACGCAGTCTGGTTCTAGTCTTCTTGATGTAAACGTAGCCACTACCATCTATTGTATGGGCCGTGGCTTAAGGGCTGCCGCACACACCTTCCATAACAATAACCATAAGAATCAGCCAATCAGAATTACGAGTTCAAAAGAATTCTCGACTGTGATTGGTTAATTCTTATGGTACGTCTTATGATTATTGTTACGGAAGATGTGTGCGGCAGCCCTAAATGCAGGGTGTAAACATAGCCTTTCACTACGTCGTGTGGTCGCGTCGTAAGCGTTCTGCCCAAGGATGCCAATTCGAGGACGGTTTACGACATCGCGATCAACGCCATCAGTCGGCGGTCTAGCGCAACCAGTAGCTACACATCTAAGTATGAGTCGTATATGTGTCACATAAATTTTTTATTTTTAAAAGAAGAGAATCGCGATCAAAGAAATTACTGGAAGAAAGAGCTTACGCAGTATTATGCAATTCCTCGAGTTGACGAAAACATCGACATTTT